AAGAGTAAGGCTTCTATTCTTGCCTATGGTGCAGACATCAAGAGACTTCTCAAGTCTCCACACAAGGTAACTTAATCTGTTTGCCCTAGTTACTAATCTATAAACCAATGAAAATTATACTTCTTTTCCTTACAGGACTTCCTGAGGACAAATCTATTAGTATTTACAAGGCATTCAGGTTTGTTCCTAGAGCAATTAACACCACAGACAAAAAAAAAAAATCAATAAAATAGATATATCTCTGAATACATTTTTTATTCATGCTGCTTTGCATCTTTTTTTGATACTTTCTTCCTAGGAACAGTYCGCAACCATCTTTACTATCCTTACTAATGAGACCAAACATAAAAAGCAGAGGACTTCATGGAATCTATCCTAATCTTTAGAAAGAGCTGCAACCTGGTAGCAAGAAGTGGTTATGGATTGCTTATTCCCTATTAAAAAAGTGACTATTACAAATCAGACCTAAGGAGAAAACACAAAAAACCCCCAACCAACACACAAAACAAATGAAAGCAGGTCACAGCTATTGATATTTATACCAGAATAGATAAACAAAAGAAAATCATCACTCCATACAATTCCTCTCATTAAGCTGAGATATTTTTCATTCCTAGATTTGGTCTGAAAACCAGCAAACCATATATTGTGTTGGTTTTTTAGGAAGAATTCCCTAAGTATAATTAGATAGCAGGCTGCCTCCACCACAAAAAGGCAGAAGAGCAGAATTTGGAGGAGGTGTTACATGGTTTTCTCAAGTAAGAACCAATGACCATCAACTTTATGCCCAAGACCAGTCTTCTTCCTTAATATTAAACTAAGAAAGGAAAAAAAAAAAAAAAAATCCTTGAAGGATTGGGAACATCTTTAAGTATCCCACTGTTTCAGATGGGAATATATTTTGAATAACCACTTTTAAAGGCACAATCCATTTATATCTTGCAGTACATATTCCCAGATTTTACCAGATACCTGAGAACATACTCCAATTTACTACATGGATGGGCAAAGCATTTGCCACTAATAGGAAGGATGATAATTTACGACCTAATCTTTCCTGAAGGGCAGAGAGAATGAAAATTGATAGCATGACTCAACATGTAAAAGACACAGAGAAGGAAAAAATCAATTTCTCAGTAAGATCATGGAAAGGAAAATGATTAAACAGGAAAGAACATCAGCACAAGTGAGCTAATTGCTTATAACCACGCCCGCCCCACTGCAGACTGGTATTTCATGTACAAGAAGGGGAAAAATTATTTCAAACCTATTGTGTGAGACCAAATAGCAGTCCTGCATCTACTGAGCAGAATTTAGAACATTTTTTGAGAAAAAACATGCTGCTATTTCTTGTTGGCATCGACCTCACACACCAGCAAACGCAGGGGGAAGGCACCATGTGTTAGCCCTTTATTAACTCACAGCACAACCCTCTGTACTCTCACTCCAGAATCTTCCATGGTTCCTCCATAAGTGCTCCCTTGCTGTTAGCCAAACATCTTCTTTTATAGCAGCTACGTCCTGGATTTTTCATCCCAGCTGGAAGCATTAAGCTCTCACAAATGCTCTTCAGCTGGTATCAGAATGTCTCCTTTTACAGCAGCTGAGCTCTTTTACCTTTATCTAATTAGCTACAAATCTCTATTTACCATTGCAAAATGTCACACACAAGAGCTGCTTATCTATAACATTCAAGGCCACAGCGAGAGGCTGCCTGCAGTCTCTCATTGGCTTCCCACAATTTCAAGGAAGAGCTAAAAATATTTTTTTAGCTAGACAAAGATATCATCATATTTGAATCCCCATGGAATAATTTCGTGCTATATTTAAGAAACTCCTCAACAAAAAATGTCAACTAGAAAGCAAGCTGAACTCTCCTGAAGGTAGTTTGGGGCATTTTCCAGCAGAAAGGGAGGGAGGGATGGAGGGAGGCAAGCAGGCAGACAGGCAGGAAGGGARGGAAGGCAAGGCAAGGAAGGCAAGAAGGAAGGAAAGAAGGAAGGACGGACTCAGGAAAAAGCACTTAACTTGTCAACAGTATCTGCTGTAATTGAATACTCCAAGTTTGCTATTAATAAGGAAGATTTTAATCATATTGCTATACTGATGTAACTAGAAAGACATTCAGTGAAGATTTATTTATAAAGGAATGTAAACCCTGTCAAGAAGAGATGGCTTAAGATTTTGTGTAGACCTACGTCAAGCAAGATACRTAGAAATCCTGATGTCAAACAAGATATGCAGAAACTCTGATGAAATCTTGTTCATTAGAAGAATGCATTGAAAGGAAAAACATTGTTACTAACCATATGAAGCATTCTTTGTCTACATAAAATCCCTGAAAAATAAGTGATTTCTCAAAAAGCAAGAACAGGTAGAAACCAGTGAACTCATCAAAACTTTAATTCCTTTTAATGCCTAATTTCATCATGGTGAAAAAGAAAATCTTTGGAATAAGCAAACCAATATCCAAAATTCCACAGAAATACCAATTAAAATTTGTATATGAAAAGACAGTGTTTGCTTTCTATTTGAGACTGCATGCTCTTACTGCATTTACATATTTCTGGTAGCAAAAGAGAAGGGAAACAAAACTGGTCAAGAGGGGAAGGGGTCAGAATGTCTCCCTTTTAATAAACTGATACTGTACTTAATGGGAGCAACTAGGTCAGTTTAACTGATAATGCCAGCAACTAGCTGGGGACCAATTAATGGCAGAAAAATGCCATTAAAAAAAAGTCTCTCGTTTCTAGCACTGGTGTCCCAAATCTGAGTTAGCACACAACAAGAAGTCACAGCAAGCTTGGCATGGTCCCTGTCACAATTAAAAACTTCAGTCTAAAACTGTTGGTCCTTATTCATATTTTAAAAGAGAAGGAAGAGGGAATGTGCCTTGATTCCCTTTACAGTGCCTATAAGTAAAAACAGGTATTTTACTAAGACATGCTAAAGACCATTCATTAGCGGCAGACACAACTTCTCCATAGTTCTCAAAGTTAGAAAGACAATTGTAACTTCTTTTAGTGTCCTAAGGTTGCATGTTGGGAGAAAGGGAGCTCTTTGCTATTATTCCCACTGTAGTCACCTGTTTATATTACTGTAGGCCTTCTTTTAATTAAAAAAAAATAAAACAAGCAACCAAACAAAAACAACCCCCCCCAAAAAAACCCAACAGCAAAAAACTCACATACACACACAAACCCCAACAAAAATAAAAACAACCCCTCCAGAAAACCAACCAACCAAAAAAATTGAAAAACAACAACAACAAAAAAAATCTGAAACACTCAACCCTTCCAAAAAAATGAAACAATCCCAAAAAACCACAAAAAAAAAAAACCCAAGTGGGTAAACAGAAATCAATGAAAATATAATTAGAAATGTGACTATCTCTGCAGATTAAACCTCTGTGTTTCATGACCAGAGAGCAATAACACAGACAGCAGATCCAAAAAAAAAAACCCCACAGCTCTCCTGAATGGCTCWTCCTTGATCAGGTCACTACTTTTGTTGTTCGTTGTTCAAAAGGTTTTTTCCCTGCTACTTTTCCCTACTACAATGGGAGTCATTTGGACAAAGTTGAAACTAGCAAGCTGTTTGAAACAACACATATGCACAGTTACTTAAATTCCAAATAGTTGAACTATTTGATTATGTTTGTGTCCTGTTTCAGTAAAAAAATATGAATATTAGAATAGAGTTTTTCTTTATTTTTAAAATTAATCTCTGCAAAAATTATCTGTCTATTAGAAATACCTCTTGCACCATTAATCATTTGACSACCTCAGGCTGAAGCAAATAAATCTATTTAGTCTGTTCTGTAATAAATGAAATTTGGAAGTTTGAGTCAAAGCCCTGTCARTGGTCAGGCTATATAATCCATCTGAACAAATATTACTCAATTGAAAATAAACCCAGTACAAAATACATCTACTGAAAGGCTAATCAAATCCTTGCTATGAAATTCTAGTTCTTTTGTAGCTTCAGTTAGYGCAGACTGGTGATACTGGACTTCAGTATTTCTAGTTAATTGCCTCATTTCTTGACTTTCATTGCAAATATCCATTTTTACCAAAATAGAGCTGCTGTATGACACAGAAAAAATACCCCTTTTACAYACTGTTTTATAAAGATCACCTTGAWATTAATTTAGGACTGTACCAAAACACAGTCATTACATATCTATTGAGAATACTGAGAGAGATAATCTCTAAGCACTAGAATTTAACTAAAAATTACTAACAAGTAAAAAGGTATCAGAAACTGGACATAATGATCTAGGTTAATTTCCAGTTAATTGGTGTGAAGAAATTTCATAACAAAAACCGGTACTTATGTAGCTTCTAGGACAAGCCCACCTATTTAAACCTGAGCAATGGACATGAATCAAAAATACAGATCCCTGAACCCTCAGACTGCTGAAGCAATTAAGGTTCTGCACTGACATTGATGTGCAGAGCCAGTGGACAGTGTCCCTCCACTATGTAAAAAGCTATTACTGGTAACTGTTTCTTCTGCCCTGTCTCATTGTCCCAGTATTACTTCCTTACTTACTAGTACATGTAACATTCTGTAATTTCTGTTCTCACATCCTATCCTAGAACTGTATTACCTGAAAAAGGAAAAACATGGAGGGCAAGCTCTAAGGATACAACTGGGATTGACAAATTTGGAAGAAACAGGCAAAACACATCTCAGTATATTTAATATATTTAACAGATTTCTTTTCTTAAAAAAGAAGCCCAAGCATCCAGCACATGCTTTGGCAGGTCAGGGTTTTCTTTAATATTAAACATGGGCATTACTGTTTTTGAGCATGTTGAGATTGAGAGTGACAGCTTTAAGGGTCACTGGAGTCAACACTCAGGTTTGAACTTACCCAGTATGACCTGGACCAAATCTTTACTGAACACATGCCAGAGGAGAAAATGCAAAAAAYAGATCAGGCCTTCTTGCCACAGCCATGAAATGAAATTTTCTTGCCAGCATTTGTTACTTACCAAGACAGTTGTGGCCATCATGGGCTAACATGAACCCATCATAGCATGTACACCTGTAGTTGCCTGGAATGTTGATACACTCGTGGACACAGCCCCCATTRTAGAAGTCATTTTCACACTCATCAATATCTAAAACACAAGAGGAGGAAAAAGAAGCATTYGTAAAAAGAGAATACTAAGAATACAGAAAGATTTCTCCAACTGAGTATGTTTACTGAATATATGCACATTCCTTCTCTTTCTATTGAGGCTCACATTGCCTACTTCATCCAACACAGGTCAGGGACTGAATATATCAGGGTCACATTTGTCTGAAAAGCAGCAARCCAATGTATAGAACACTCCTTCAAAAAATAACTGCAGTAGCATCGCTGCAAACAAAGATATGTTGTCAAAAATAAAAAACAAACACTTGATTTTAGTACACTTTCTATATCTAAAATGTAGGTTTTGTTTTCTGCATTCAAAATAATCAAGCAGAGACTGAATGAAACCTTTGACTTGTAACTATTTGAAGCATGCTATTAACATGGGATGAGTCAAAAGTATGCTTTTTACAACAAATAAACTATAATTTTCTGTATTAATCCATGTACAACAAGAGCCACAAAAAGTCCAGCATTTTATTCTCAGAAGATATGATAGAGTTGTTTGGGCTTTTTTTCACACTGACCTGTATCTGAAAGAGTATCATAAAAAGATGAGAAATGGATTCTGCTTCAACTATAAACAATTCCGTCATGATCTTCCCTCTCTCATACAAAAAATTACTTCTTCACTCCTTCTAGAAATGCAAACTTTCTTTTTGTTACGAACTGTGTTCTGTCTTATACATGGAACATTAGTATTGCAGTCACTCTTGTGAATAATTCAGTGGTGCACATCAACCAACTAAAAATACATAATTAATTAAAAATACCCTCATGGCTTGATAACTGTCACATCTAAATTTGTGGTCCTAGACCAAAAACCACAGCTGCTCTCCCTAAGTTAGGCAGTACATGATAAAGTTATCCTTTTGGAAACCCACCTGTTATATCAGAGCTATCCTAGCATTACGTTTCAAATGTGAGAGGTGCTTCTTCCATTGCAGAGGTGACTGACATATTTCTGAGTCAGGTTCATGGTCACACAGACTTTCTCTCCCCCGCTCCTTTCCTTAAAAATGAATGAATCTTTTGCTACCTGGCATCATATTCAGATGCAATCCCAAGAGAGCAAGGTGGTTTGGGGGAAAACCAGACTCCTCTGAAGAGCCAGCTCAGACTCAGCTACTCAATGCTTCCAGCACTTCTGGCCCTTGGATTGAGAATGGCTGGGTTCATCTCTGCTCACACAGTCTGTCAGAGCATGGGCAGACTTCTCCCAAGTTTTGTTGCAAATATTCCTCTTCATGTCAGCCTCTCTCAGAAATCATTAATTTAGAATACTCCAGGTCTCCATCCACCTGCCTCCTACAGCTCTGAATTCTCCCTTCTACAATCTCYTCAACAGCTTGAAAAGGGAAGTACAGATTTGGCTTTACATGCAAAACCAATTAGTTATTYTGTAACTCAGAATTTGGCACCACAGAAATACCAGAAATAAGAGGCTGAAGAAAGTATCTTCCAAGCAAAAATACAACCTACTGCTTAAAGGTCAATTTCCTAGTGTTTAAACCACTGTTCTGATTCAGAAAGTACCCATCCTTTAGTTGTGCAAGTGCCCAGTCAGCACAGCCCGTGGTTGTGCCCCACCATCTGAGTACAATATGACAGCAAAAAGAAATTATTTTTCTTGAAAACAATAACCAGAAAATCAGCTGCTCATTCCAAACAACCTCCAGTGCAAAGTCTCTGASAAGCTGCTCTCATTTAGTCACAGCCCTGTATGCCTGGGTGCATGTTCCCCAAATGTTATACTCTGGTTTCCACTCAGCAGAAATTTGCAGCTTTCATAACCATCCATGAATATTTCCAGAAACTTCCTATCATTCTCAGGCTACAGGGACAACAACAGAGCTCTGCATTAATGCCATGTTTTAACAGGCCAAGTCAATAATCAAAAAGCACATAACATGATTTTGATGTCAGACGTGTCAGGCATTCCCCCCWGGACACTCAGGGAAAAAGGCATCTTCATTTCAAGATTTGTTTTTAACTTTCATCTAGCAATGAGTCTTTTCAGAAGAGGGAATTTCAGAAGAAGCTCTTATCAACTGTTATGTTGCTCAGCATCAAACTGCCAAGGATTGATCAATTAATTCCCTTTTTTCAAATAATGAATCAAATAGCAAGATTTGCTTAAATAAGCAATGGGAGAGCCTTCAAAAGGGACAAAAAAATCAAAGAAATGTGAAGCCTTTTGAATTACTGTCCCTTATATAATACTTATTTTCAAAAAGCTGTACTGTGATTAGCAACACAAGGCGATGATGTAATATAAATACTCAAGTTGCAGAAAGTGTGGTGCAACAGATATAGACAGCAACTCCCAGTCGCAGGGCTGGATATAAGCATCCACATCATCAGATGCTGGCAAAATAATTTTGATCATCTCTTTCTGGAACTGGTTTGGAAAATCTCAAAAATCCACAGCTTGTTTCAAAAGTTTTAACAAAAGTAAAAACAATTATCAGGAAAAAAAGAGATAAAAAGAAACTTGCTTATTTGTGTGTGATAGTAACTGTCAGCTGTTTAACAAGGTGAAAGAAGCTTGGAAACTCCATTATAATTCTTTATGGAAAGCAGAGGTGAATCCTTCCCTTATACAATGGAAATAACTCTTTGAGCAACCCTAGGCAACACAGCACTGCCATGCTCTGCTATTGCTCTCCTCAATGAGCAGTGGTGTTACTTAAACACCCACTGTATGAAGACTGCAGTTACTATGCAGTGCAAGCATCCAATAATTAAAAAAAAAAACAAAAAAACAAGTATCTGAGAAAATTTGAGGATGTGTTACCATGAGGATGTGCTGTAATTTATAGTTTTTGTATTTCAGTTACAGGAAGAGAATCTGCATTTGTCTTCTTTCAGTGACCCTATTCTTTTTAGTCTGAGACCTGTATTTCCCTTATACATAATAGGGTTGATTCTTCTTTCATTATTAGAGGCGAAACTGACCCTCCCTCAGAATTTGTTTAATTTGTGTATTCTGCCACAAAGAGACAGAACTCTCAGAAGTCTCACAAGGCCACCCTGCAGAGAAGCAGCTCTTCCAGAAGCACATACAGCTAAGAAATGTTCAAAACAAAACAAGAATCAAACCCTTCTCCTTCCAATATCACAGTGTTTCAGATTTCTGTTTCATCAGAGAATAGAAGACATCAGCATGCAATAACTAATGTCCACAAGACAAACCAARCTGTAGAACAGTAAGGAAGCTGTAAAATGGCTGGTTCCCACTTCATTTAAACATTTTCAGCAGTGTAATGAAATTCACTGTGTGCTAATCGTCTTTTCCAAGAAGTAAGCAACTTTGCTAGAAGGTGGCACAGAACTTACGCCAAAAAAGTAAAAGGTCTACCTCCAGAAAAATTCATTCCCATTCTTCATTTCATCAGTTGCAATTAACTAAGTTCCTGAATGTCCAAAAATCTTTACAACACATGCAACAAACTTTGTCAGCACAGCTACAGATCATTATGGGCACAGCTACTGAAATCAGAGCAAATGTCTGCAYGGAGTTGATGAATTTTGGATGAGTGTCACAGCTAAACTGTCACAAGAAGCCTTATGGCTATTAACATGCAAAAGGAAGAACAACTGAGGCCTGGAAGTCAATGAGCCAAATTCAGTGTTTAGTGTTGAATTCTACAGATTTCTATAGAAAATGGGAAGTATGCATTTTATAGAAAATGGGAAGTATGCATTGACACAATTTTTGTCTTGGCATCTGTCAAGGCCACAGATCCCAACACTCACGATGCAACAGAAAATGTTCAAAATAGGTATGGGACTGAATAAAATCTGTGTCCATTTTAAAGTATTCCTTGATTAGCAATATAAGGGAAAGATCTGGAGCCAATTTACTAAACAAAAACTTCAACTGAGTTTGAAAGGAGTAATTTATGTGCCTGGACATTTCAAAATAAATAGCCAAAGAAAGCTGTCTGCCCACATCAACTTCTAATTTAGAGAACCGCAAACAAAAGTTTGCAGGTGTATTTTGCAGATGTGGAATACCTCATAAAGAAGCTGGATCCATTAAATAGCTAGAAAAATAAAAATTAAAATGTTTGTAAGTACATCTTGATGGATAACRCCACATTTTTTCAGTATCTAAATAAAAAAAAAATTTTGATACTCATCTTTCTTTATCTAGCTGCTTTAAACAAAATACGCACAAAGAGGCCCTATGGAAACAATAACATTATCCTTACAAACTTGTCAAGAAAGAAACTACGTTTTATCTTCTTGCTTGAAGAGAGGTTAGTTCTAGTCCCTGCAGAGGGCAAAGCACAGCAGATGCAAAATTCTCTTCTATCAGTCGTCTTCTGCTAAAAAAAGTCATTCTACAGTTCTGCAACAGTGGCATATTGCCTGCTTATCCACAACCAGCATACAGCCAAGAACACTGCAAGATGCTGGAGCCCACATTTCCATGTGGTAGTATTTTTCACTTTTATGGCTTTTCTCCTAAAAGCTTTCAAAAAATTTATTGATTCTTWATTGAATTTTGGTCACTGTTCCTCTTAGGACAAAAGCACTATCCTCATTTCCCCAGAAAAATGCAGGATAAAAGACCAACTCCTAGATTCTAAATCTTACACAACTAAGAACAGATTTACAGTGCAGAGCTGTCCTCCTCATCACATAGTTTTATGCAACCTTGATCTCAAATGCTTATGAAAGAAGTAGCCTTGTAACATCCAAAGGTAAAACAGCCTGAAAGGATATCCCAATCCTGCAAATGTCACAAGGCTTTTTTGCCACTGGCTTAGTGAAGCCAGGAAGATGTATTTTCTGGGATTCACAGTGAAGAGATATGTGAAACAGGATAAACACTGAAATTTTTGTTCCCATTTCCATGTCAGAATAAACAGTGCAGAACAAGCAGTGTAGCACCTGACACTGCTACTTTAAAGGAAATGGGCAGAAGTGAAGTTACATGCACACTGGCAAGAATTATAAACAAGTTCAGGTCCT